CGCGCTGCCCCGCGGCGCGCGCCGCCAGCAAGCTTAGTAGGGTACAGCCGACGCGCCCAGAGAGGACGCGCGCCTTCTTCTAGGGTGCACTTGTGTCCTTGCCTCTGCGGCCCGTCCCTTGCCGTTCTCACTAGCCTCTCCCTGGGTTAGGGTACACGTTGCTCATGTCTAATGCTTCGAAGGTTCTCTGATTTTCCGGGGTTCCAAGATCCTCTCGTTTCTAATTGTTCTATCCTGGGCCTCTTCCTGGCCACTAGGGGGCCAGGAACGCTTAGAAACGAGCACAACTAGAAATGAGCACGATTAGAAATGAACGACGTGTACCCTTGCGTCCCTGGGGTGTTGGTCGCCCGCAGCCCCAAAAAGAAGTCCCAACTTCGGCCTCCAAGGGTCCTGCGTTCCTGCCATCCGTCCTTAGCACACGATTCGCTTGTGTGGGGGGACCCGGGAAGCCGCGCTCGGGAGGCAGGGGGCCAGAAGACGGCTCGCGAGAAGACGGGCGATGCTTGGGCGGGGGGCCGAGTGCCTGCACCCGGTGCCCAGACATCCGACGATGATCTCTGGCCCTCAACCGGCCCCTTCTCCGCGGAGGTAGTCTCCGCCTCCCCGGCCCCAGCGATCGCGGACCCCGGGTCCCGAGGCTGGGCCCCGGCGCCGAGCTCGGGGGTAGGGCGCCCGGAGGGGCGAACACGAGCACGTCGCCTGGAGCTCTGGCCGGCGGGCCGGAGGGAGGCGGGGGCTGGGCGGAGGAGGGAGAGGAGGACGAGGAGGAAAGGGGGGAGGGAGGGTGGGTGAGAGGAGGAGGGGGAGGGAAGGGAAGGAGGGTGGGAGCGAGGGAGGACGAGGGCTCGGTAAGGGTAGGAGGAGGAGGATGTAGGGGGGGAGGAGGAGGAGAAATAGGCCGACGAGAACAATGAGGACGATGCGGCCCATGAGGAACAGAAGGGGAGCGTGCTGTGTGTGGGGAGGGGGGGGGCGTGGTCGGGGACCGGCGGTGGGAGGCGCCCTGCCGTTTTCGGCCAAGGTCGCTGCCCCCGCAGGACGTGTGTGAGCCCAACGTGTGTGCGTTTTTACCCCGTGCAGCGCCGCGGAGGCCACGCGGCCCGCGTCGGCCCTCGCCGCGTAGGCGCGCCAAGGGTGTGTTAACTGACGGCGATGTGGGAAGACCAGCTGCGGGAACGCGTGGCCCGTGTTCTCCTACAACTCGCTGCGTCGTCTTCGCTCGATGCACTCGCAGATTGGAAATGGAGGAACCGGTGTCTCGTGATTTCCCACGTTTTGTTCAGCGTGAGCTCGGTGTCACAAAAACCAGATTCCCAACCGCACCGTTAACCTAGCACGCCGTTGGCGCGGCCTTGGCTCGCTGCGTTGCCCGCGTTGCCCTCAGGTGCTTCGGTGGACTAGCGCACGTTGGCCCCAGCACAGGCACCCTGAGATCCGACGCTGCAGAAAAACGCAGCATCGCGATGCAGCGGGCCGCTGAAGAAGGAACCCTCTTCGTTAGTGAGGGGCTGCGTGCTCCTGAAATGTTTTACAGTTTGCCTTTGGTTGTCCCTGGGTGTTCTATCAGAAGCCGAAGTTTTACGTGTGGGCAAAAGGGGCCTTGTTCCTTACTTAGGGTTCTGTCTGACAGCGCTTCGACTATAAACCACGCCCAGAGCCCTAGACCACTTCTTTCTGTTGCACTCGTCGGGTCGGATCGATCCGTGAGGGCTATGGGGCCCGAATCGAGGCAGAATCGCCCGTCGTGAAAAATGGCACGCCAGGACCTCAGGGTTAATAGTCGGACCGAGGTATAAGATCGAGGTCGGCTTGGGGAAGGTACCATAAGAATCTTCGTGCTTGTTGGATGCTCTTGTGCACCCTCGGGGGGTCATCCTTGGACGGTCGGTGTGTTCTGGCCATTGGAGGGTCTCGTGTTCTCGAGGGATGTTTTTCTGTCCTAGGTCCAACTGTACCCAGACAGACCCCCGACGAAAAGTTTAGTTCATGATGGCGACCCTTGGAGGACCTTGACCCATTCCCCGGGAGCAGCTTCTCATCCCGAGTTCTTTTTCGACGGCCCCGAGGGCCGGCAAGGTCCCCCAGAGGCCGACCATAGAGAACACTTTCCCGCCATGTTTTTTCCATGACCCGAGGGGGTCTGGGCACCGAGGTCCACGAGTCTGCTTGGGCGCCCCGCCTGATGCCAGAGGCACGTTCCGTTTGAACCATCCGCAGAGCCACTTGTAGCAGAGAGGAGGGGGAGGAGCAGGAGGGAGGGGGAGGAGGAGGAGGAGGAGGAGGAGGAGGAGGAGGAGGAGGGACCTTCCTCTCCTCACGCACTGCTTGGCTGGCGCACACTTTGTGCACTTGCGGGCCCACTTCTTTCGCATGTCTCTGTCGCCCTTCGTTCGTTCCGCTGTGCACGCCATGCCGAATCCGCTGCGCACTGAGAACAAGTGCTAGTCCTCTTTTCTTGCAGACGCTGTAATCCCGAGGAGTTAGATGCGGTCAACGTCAGAGAGGATGAGGATGAGGAGAAGGAGGAGGAGCATGAGGTGGGGATGCCAGAAGTAAGGATGCAGACAAGGGAGGAGGAAAAAGAGGAGGACGAGGAGAAGGAGGAGGAGGAGGTTGCCAGAGGCAAGGATGCAGACAAGGGAGGAGCAGGATCCTCGACGAGGCGCCGCGCCCGCTGCAGCGGTGGCCCCCCCCGCCGCCGACGAGGGCGGTGCGGCTCCGCCCGCGCCCCCCGCAGCGCCGCCGCCGCCCGCTGCCGCCGCGGCGCCGCAGCGCGTGCAGAGCACGTCTGGCGACCCCGTGTTGACGACGGCGACTCCTCGGGGCTCGCGCAACTACCCAGACTCCCTCCTCCTCCTACTCCTCCTCCTCCTCCTCCTCCCTCCTCTCCTCCTCCCTCCCTCCTCCTCCTCCTCCCTCCTCCTCCTCCTCCCCTCCTCCTCCTCCTCCTCTCCTCTCCCTCCCTACCTCCTCCTCCTCCTCCTCCTCCTCCTCCTCCTCCTCCTCCTCCTCCTCCTCCTCCTCCTCCCTGGCACAGGGGGGCCCTGCGGATGGTTCAAACGTGCCTCTGGCATCACACGGGGTGCCCAAGCAGATTCTTGGACCCCGGTGCCCAGACCCTCGGGTCCTTGAAAAATCATTGCGGGCGGCCTGTCGCCATGCTCGGACTCTGGGGGCCCTTGCCGGCCCCAGGGAACCCACCGCCTGTCCCGGGGAGGGGGTCCAGACCGCTGGGCTTCCACGTCCTGGAAAATTCACGACGTCGGGGATTTGGGAACGGGGCTCAGCGCTAACGGGGCTCAGCCAAGACGCGCAGGATCCTCGCGTGCGACATCCGTGTCCGCAGCCTCGTGGGCCAGGCCCCTTTGGCGCGATCGGCGACGCGCCCAAGGGGGTGAGGCCGAAGAGGCAGGCCCTCTCAGAGGGCGGCGGAGCTTCTCAGAAGGCCTCCGGCTTTCTGCAAGCCTTTTGAGAAGGTCCGCCCTTAGTGGGCCCCGGAGACGGCAGGGCCGTTTTTTCACCGTTTCCAGGGACATGTCCCTTGAACATGGAAGCGGCAAAAGAAAGGCGACCGGAGACGGCAAAAAACGGCTCCAGGATGGGAACCGGAGCCGGAACCGGTCAAACAACGGCGACGGAGCCGGTAAAGAAACGGCGTCGGAGCCGGCAAAAAACGGCAAAACGGAGCCGGTAACAAAAACGGCCCTGTCGTTTCCAGGGCCCTTTAACTAAGGGCCCGCCCCCTCTGCCTTTTCCCCCCTTGGCCCGGCGCCGAGCGGATGCCCCCAGCGCGGAGCGGAGCCGTGCGATCCCGCGTATCCGCGGGATCGCGCCCTGGAATCCAGACCGCGAGGGCGCGGATACGGTGGAGGGAAACAATTAGTGAACACCCCCCCTGCCCCCCAAACTCAAAGTTGGCACGCGGGGGGGAGACTGCGGTCGAGGTGCAACTCATCAGACCCACCGCCAGCTTTGAACATTGGGGGAAGGGGGAGGCGTTCACAGATGAATGTGGCATGAGTGTTCGCTAATTTTTTCCGAGGCCTGTACGGACATGTTAACCATTCGTGAATTCGGGATTCAGCCAGAACGCCAGATCTTCCAGGATTCCGCAAGGCTGAAGCTTGGCTGAGCCGGGTCTATAGAAGCCGCTCGCAGCCCTGCAGGTGGCCTTATACGCATTCGCCGAGCCCAGTTTTGGAAAGCCCCGCAAAAAGCCGCAGAACAGTGCTTGGAGCATTGATGGAAGCGGGTTTGCGCCGAGCCAGTGTAACACACGCCCGAGCACAGCGGAGGGCGAGCTGAGACAAGCAAGGGTAGTTGGCCTTCGGTGTCCTCCTCCACACTCCGCTCCACCCTCGTCCGCGCCAAGGGAGGAGGAGGAGGAGGGGGGAGAGAGGAGGAGGAGGAGGAGGAGGAGGAGGAGGAGGAGGAGGAGGAGGAGGAGGAGGAGGAGGAGGAGGAGGAGGAGGAGGAGGAGGAGGAGGAGGAGGAGGAGGAGGAGGAGGAGGAGGAGGAGGAGGAGGAGGAGGAGGGAGGAGGAGGAGGAGGAGGAGGAGGAGGCGATGAGGCGGCCCCCCGCGGCAGGACGGCCTGCCGACTCCCTGGGCGCATGGCAATGGCTGGCATCGCGTCTCTGGGCATGCGATTGCTTGTCGAAGAGACAGGGATGGGCCTTCGGCGGGGGGGGCCCCCGTCGCCTCGGCCTAAGACGCAGCTCGGGCAGTTTTGGTGCGCCTGGACTCCCGGCAGGGGCCTGGGGCCAGACCAGCTCGAGCCGCCGCTGCCTCAGCTCGCCATGCCCAGACCTCCTGGCGTCGTGGAAAAATCACGACGGGCGGTGTTTCGCTATTTTCGGCCTCCGGGGGCCCTCACCGGGCCTCCGGAGCGTCAAAAAACGACTCATAGCACAAAGAACCGGTCCCAGGGAAGGGTCCATACCTCTGGGGGTCGACGTTGTGAAAAAATCACGACGTCGGGGGTCTGGGTGCCCCGAGGTGACAGTGGCGGCGAACGTGTGGACCTCCACGCCGGCCGCGCCGGCGGAGCGGAAGCTCTGGCGCTACCGGCTCTCGGAGGAGGAAGAGGGTGCCCCTGAGCTCCGGGCACCGTCCTCGCGCACCTGGGCGCCTCCGCCTGGCTGCGGGCCCCAGGGCCACCGCGCGGGCCGATCCGGCTCGAGACACATACAGCGGGAAGATGGGGCGCGGTGAGGTCCGGGGCTCTGGTCGTGCGCCCTTCGCAACGTCGTTTCGCACGGGGGGGATCTCAGCGTCGGATCTCGCCGATGGCGCAGTTGGTTCGCAGCGTCGGATCCCAGGGTATACCGATGCCGCTACGCGTCCCTCGTCGCCACGGTCGGACCCGCCTCGAAGAATCCTGGCCAGGGCGCATCCCCGCTGTTGGTACGTGTTGGTGGTCCCCAGGCTCGTGGGCGGAGTCACCTGCCCTCCCGGCGAGCAGGTGTGCATCGCGGTGCCCCTGAAGGGCCCGGGTGAGGGCGGCGTCCAGGGCTGCCAGGTGGCCCTCCGGTCGGAGGACGGCCGGCTGTTCTGCTTCCTGCCCCTGCCTCGGAGCGCCGTGTCGCTGAGGCTGCCTGTGCACGTGCACGCGCCGGTGAATGTGACGCAGGACCGTCGAAACGTATTGCTGGATGACCGCGTCGGGGACAGGGACCTGATCCAGCAGAACGTGCGGTTGTTGGACGTGCGCATCCCAGAGTGCCTCGCGCGTTGCGTGCTGGACCTGTCTGGGAAGATGTCCCGCCAAGAGTTGTTCTGCCTCTTCCCGACGCTCTCCGCACCCGCCGCAGAGGCGAGCTCCGCCGACGGCGCGGGAGCTTCTGAAGGCGGCGCCATCGCCGACCGCCTGGCGACGGCATTCTACAGGCAGCTGATACGCCAGCAGGATTAAGTCGGGCGTGTCCCTCTACAAGAGGAATATCCCCAAACAGTCCAAATATTGTCTGGAGACGATTGTCTGACCATTTTTGCACGTTAAAATAAATAGTTTTAGTATTTTGCACTCGTCGTCCAAAGGCCGCCTGATGGGGGGACACGCTCGACCTAACAGCAGGAGCCGATCTTCCCCCTCATACAGGGCGCGCCAGGCCAGCCGAAGGCTGCCGGCAGGGTGTCCTTCCGGGAGGCCGTGTTCTTCTCCGAGCGGGAGGGCCGCGGGGCCCACGGCGCGGAGGGGCGAGCGCTGGTGGCCGCCGTGGCGGCCCCGCTGGCGCGCTTCGGCGTGCCGGTGGTGGAGCTGCCGGTGCGCGTCCTGGAGTCCATCGAGCGCGTCCTGCACCCCGCGCAGCCGCGTGTGCTCACCCCGGCGTGGCTGCGCCAGTTCCTGAAGGCGATGTCCGCCAACGCCGATTCGAGGAGCCCGTCGTTCCCGCTCAGGGAGAGCGCGGAGGCCGCGGCGCCCGAGGCCCCAAAGGGGGGAGGGAAAGGTGCCCGCACCGCGGCTCTGGTCCGAGCAGCCCAGAGATCAGCGTGTTGAGGAAGTCAAGGCGGAGGTTTTTCGCCGGTTTCGGCCTCCAGAGGCCCTCGCTGGGCCTCGGGGCCGTCAGAAAACGACTCAGGACGACGAGCTGGTCCTGGGGAATGGGCCGAGGCTTCCGGGGACCCCGCATTGAAAAAATCGCGACATCGGGTCTCTGGAGGGTGGGGTCGGGGGATCGCTCAGCATCGACGATCCGCCGGCGACGTGGCTCGATGTGGCGCCAGAGTTCATCCGCGCCGACAGCGCGGACGCATTGCCGACGTCGCCGATGCATCGGCGGTGCAGCAGCGGTGCGGCGCGATCCTCCGACCCTATGCTCCTCGGACCCCACCCGGGAGGCCTCCTGATGGATTCTCTTCGGAAGGCTGGTCGGAACTCGCCCCGGGCGGGGTCTGGGGCATAGCGGTATGGGTAATCCAGAAGCCGGAATAAGGTGACAAGTTGGCCCCTCTGTGAGAGAGAAGGGCGAATTGTGATGTGTGCAGAGGCCCCTCCGTAAAAGAGAAGGGCTCCTCCACCAAGCCCATCTGAGTGAGAGAAGGTCGAGGCCTCCTGCGATTCTCTTCTTGTCCCCCCCTTCCCCCCCCCCCCTTCCCCATCCCTCCCCCCTTCCCCCCCCCCGTTGCTTTCCCCTCCCCCCACCCCTTCCCCTCCTTCCCCCCTTCCCCCCCTACTTCCCCCCCCCCTTCCCCCCCAAGAGGCCCGCGAGGTCTCCAGCGGAGCGGGTCCAGCGGCCCCCCCCGGCAGCGTGCACATCGACCACCTCACGGTGGCCGAGGCGGGCGCGCTGCTCGAGTTCGCGCTCGTCGACGGGAACACCGCCGACCTCGAGGGCGTGCCTCTCCTCGTGACCGAGAGCCTGGCGACGGGCACCGTCGCCTTCCGGAGCTCGCCCGGCGCCGCCACCGTCTTCGTGCCAGAGGACGAGGATCGGCGACCACAAAGGGCACCCCGGATTTCGTGATAAAAGGGAGGGGGTCTGGACCCTCCAAGACAAGCCATTTCAGACCTCCCCCTGTGGGAGAACCCTCCAAAACATCGTCCCCAGACCCCCCAGGCCCTCCAAGATAGCCTGGAAGAGACCCCCCCCCCGAAATGAGACCCCCCTCCCTTTCTTACGAGATCTGGAGTACTCTTACGCCGGGGTGTGGCTTGCGGTCGGCGCCGTGGGGGCTTGGGGGGCACGGCGCTGTCCATTGTCGGGCCTCGGGGCCGCGACAGGGAGCTCTGTCGAGGGCCCCGCCCACCCCCCCAGGGTGCCAGCTGCAGACCACACCCTTGGCAAACCACACCCTTCGGAGTCGCCGAGAGGAGGAGTACGACCTCCTCCCCCACGCGCCGCATCGAGTGATATCGCGGGAGCTGGGGAAACCAACATCGAAGAAGGAAACACGGGATAAGCATAAACTTCTAGCGCTCCGCGCGGGCTTCTTGGATCCACGCGGGGCCCCCCGGCGGTGCCTCCAGCACCGCCCCTGGCGCTCTCCGCGCGCCAGGTAGGGGAGTCCAGCGCAGATCCAAAAAATCCGCGCGGACCCCCAAAAGTTTATGTCTAGCTGTTTTCTGTTCCTCTACAAAAGGTGCCCATACTGCCACTCCCCGGGCCTCTCCCTGGGTGCATTCTGCCCATGATTTCGAGGCGAGGCCAGCGGTGGCGAGGGCCTCCCGGAGGCCCAAACAGGGGAAAACGAGGGAGGGATATCGGTATGGGAATCTTTTCCTCCTCTGAGGAGCTCCGGAAGGGGCACCCATGGGTGTGGCAGCACTTGAGACATTTGGTGACGAGCAGCTCTGCATCGCTGGCCACGCCTCTGGACCAGGCGACGGGAGGGGGCGCTGCCCGCAGCGGCGTCCAGCCGCCCGGCTCCTTCCAGCTGCGCCGCGTGGCGCTGGAGCCCCTTCTCGAGGCGCTGCAGGACCTCCTGCCAGCGAAGTGGAACGCCGAGGTGCCCCAGGTGCTGCTGGACGAGTGGTCCACCTGGGTGGAGATCTGGCTGAAGGCGCTGTGGAGGTGGCTGCACCGCATGTCGGTGCCGATGCAGCGCATCATGCACTGGCCGCTGATCCCGAGCCTTGTGCAGGGCGAGGGCTCCGAGCTGGTGCACGTCAACCTGCACAAGCTCCTGCCCGAGAGCCCGCTGTTCAGCGCCTACCCCGCCCGCGCGGCCGCCGTGCCCCCTGCCGTGGGGGGCGGCGCTCCGCTGCTGAGCGAGCCGGTCAGGAAGGCTCTCGTGGCCATCCTGCAGAAGCGCCTGGGCTGCTCGCCGGTGCAGGAGCCCCAGTGGCTGCAGGCGCCAGAGCACGAGCGGCAGCTGCGCGGCTTCGTGCACCCCTGCTCGCCCGACGGCTTCATGCAGGCCGCCCACGTGCGCCTGAAGGCCGAGCTCCGGGGGGCGGGCCAGCAGGCGCCAGCGGGCTCCGACCCCACGCTGCGGGCCCTGGCCCGGCTGCGGGAGCGCCTCGCTGCCGACCTGGGCACGCAGGAGCTGGGAGCCCTGGTCGCCTGGCTCTCGCTGGTCCGGCAGGAGAGCTGCTGCTGCCTCACGGAGCGCTCCGCCGGGTGGAAGCGGAGGTGCGGCGTGGTGCGCGCGGCTCCGATCTTCTGCCTCTTCTCGCGGCCTGCGGAGCGCGTGGCGCTCGTGGACTTCGACGCCCGCCGCGCGGACCTGGTGGCAGGCCGCCCCAGCGCCGGCGAAGGCGCTGGCGGCGCGGCAGTGCCCGCCGAGCCGGCGACCTGGGCGCTGATGCCGGAGGCGTGCAGTGAAGTCTGCGCGGCCGTGCGAGCTGCGGGCGTCGAGCTGCCAACGGTGGTGGAGGTGCCACCCGACCTCGCCGCGCCCAGCTCTGCCGGCGCTCTTCTGAAGGAGCTGGGGCTCCCGCGCCTGAGCTGGGCCGAGGTCTTGCTCCACCACATCTTCCCGTGGGCTCGCTCCACGACGGACGTGGGCGCGCGACAGGGGCTGATGCTCGCCGTGGTGCGCCAGTGGCGTGAGCTCGAGCTCGCAGGCAACGACGAGTGCGTGGAGGCCCTCCAGCACGTGCCGTTTGTCGGCACAGTGGGAGGGCAGACGCTGAGTCCAGCAGAGATCCTGGACCCCACGGCTGAGGACCTGCCCCGGCTGTACGGGTCTGACGCTTCGCCGACGTGCGGGCCTTTCCCAACGGCTGAGCTGTACGGCCAGTTGGCGCAGGTCAGTATCGTTTAACTAACCGATCCCCATCCTCATCCCCATCCCCATCCCGAACCCAAACATCCCGCCACCCCAGTTGGTAACATGCCCCTCGAAACCCGAAGGGAACAGCCTATATCCACATCTGGGCGGATGGATGGGGGGGGCGGGGGCAAACTGGCCAGTGGGGCCCAGGCCACGCCAGAGGGGATATGGATCGGCTGCACGATGCTCAGCAGGTGGCGCAGCGGGGCCTTCTTCGCTTCCGCAAGGAGCTCTCGCTGCAGGAGCTGATGGAGAGGCTCACCTTCCTGCACAAGGAGGGCGCGAGCGCAGCTGGGTGGGGCGGAGAGGCGCGCTGGAGCCTGGCGCGCCCCCTCGCCGAGAACCTGCTGCAGTACGTCGCCGCCCGCGTGGCGGTGCGCTGCGCTGCGGCCGCGGAGAGAGCGGCGAGCGAGGGCCTCGTCCAGCAGCCCCGGCAGGCAGACGAGGCCGCCGAAGACCGCAACTCGCGCAGCTCGTTCTTCTTGTGGCCTGCGGCCTTCAAGTTCCCCATGGCTGGGGACGCGCCCGCCGCTGCCGCGCCTGCTCCGCCAGTGGTCAACTGGTCGGAGGACGACGTGGAGGCGCTGAAGTGCAAGGTCCGGGCGACCGCGTGGCTGCCGGCGGCGCCCGCGCCTCGGGAGTGGCTGCCCTCCGTGCCCTGGCGCGGCGCCGGCCAGCAGCTCTGGCGGCCAGACCAGATGCGCCTGATGCCGGAGTTCTGGCTGCGGGGAGCTACAACGCCCCTGCTCTGCCTGGACACGCAGCTGGGACTCTCCGGCGAGGGCAAGCAGCGTGCGCGCGCGGCCCTGCTCGATCTCCTCGGCCTGCCGGCGGAGCCGAGCGGCCCGGACTGCGCCGCGGCCGCGTGGCGCCAGCTCGACGCGGTGCGGTCGTGGTGGTCGTCGTCGGCAGCGGAGGGCCGCAGCGACTCGGGGGCCTCGTTCTTCGTCGCCAGCTGCCTGCACCAGCACGTGTACCCCGCGCTGCCCTGCCGGCCCGCGCCGGCGGAGCTGGGCGAGGAGCGGGAGGCGCGGCGGCTCGCCGAGCTGTTCGTCGGCGGGGACTTCGTGGGCGTGGAGGACATCTCCGCGGAGCAGGGCTTCCGAGAGGCCGGGCTCCACCAGCTGCCGCGCGAGCTCCTGAACGCCCCGGCGGTGCGGCAGGTCGTGAAGCGCACCTTCAGCCCGGAGGACCTGGGCCGCGCTCTGGAGCGCCTGAGGGCCCCCCTGGCGGCCGACCAGAAGCCCCAGCTGGTGGAGGTCGCCGTCAGCCTGTGCATCTCCCTCGCGGACCGGGTCATCGCAGGCGAGGAGCCGCCGGACGCCGTGCTGGTGCCCACCCAGCGCGGGACCCTGCGCCCGGCCAAGGAGTGCGTCTTCAACAACATGAAGCACCTCTCAGAGGAGGAGTATCCAGCAGCCTGCGGCAGCCCCCGCCTGATGAACGCCGTCTGCGCAGCGTCGGTGCGCATGCAGGATGCTGTTCTACCGAGCTGGCCCGAAGAGGCTCGGCGGCACCATCCTGCGGTCGCTGCGGAGGCAGAGCTCCTGTGCAGTGTGCGCGGCGTGGCCCCGAGGGTTGCATAGTTCCTGCGCCGCCTGCTGGGGGGCGTCTCGGGGGCTTGTCGGGGCTTTTCTACAGCGGGGCCTCTTGTGAACCGCCCTGGGCCTTCTCGGGGGCACTGCCGGGACGTCTGGAGGGCCTCTCGGGGGCCTTGCCGGGAGTCTTGTGGCCGTCGTGGGCGCGATGGCTCTACATTAGGTTCGCGTCGTGCCGACTGGCGGCGACCCCGCCGCGGGCGTTCAAGAACTGGCCAAGGTGGAACGATCTGGCGATCGAAAAGCCGCCGATCGTCCAAGGTTGAACGATCAACGCGGTGTCGAAGACCAACGCCGAAGTCGACGCGACACGAACCTGCCGTGCCGAGCTCTCCCGAAGCAGATCTCGAAGAAGAAAAAACGCCATAAGCATAAACCTTTTGCGCTCCGCGCGGATTTCTTGGATCCGCGCTGAGCCCCCCCCGCGGCGCCTCCGGCGCCGCCCCCTGGCGCGCTCCGCGCGCCAGGGAGGGGGGCCCAGCGCGGATCCAAAAAGCCCGCGCGGAGCGCCAAAAGTTTCTGTCTGTTCATGGCATGTGTTCTTCTCTGGGGCAACGGTCGGGGGGGATGGGCATCGATCGGGGGGCAAGATCGGGGGGCAGAGATCGGGGGGCAAAGATCGGGGGCAACGATCGGGGGGCAACGATCGGGGGGGGGATGCATCGACCCGCGATCGCCCACTGATCGCCGATGTCAGGGCCCGACAGCCCCGAGCCGCCCGGGAAGGCGCGGTTGCGCTCTCGGGGGCCTGTCGCCGATCCATCGGCGCTGTGTCGCCGAGTCCAGGTCGACGCATCCCCCCCTGTGGCTAATTATCCCCCCCTATATCCCCCCCTCTCGTTGCCCCCCCCTATGCCTATCCCCCCCGTATGCCTATCCCCCCCTTATCCCCCCTACGCCTATCCCCCCCTACCCCCCCCTATCGTTGCCCCCCATCCCCCCCTAACCCCCCCTATGCCTATCCCCCTCTATGCCCATCCCGCCCGATCGTTGCCCCTCGCAGCGATCGGCAGAGCCATGCAGGGGCCGCCCGGTCGAGCCGCAGGGCAGGCAGTCCTGGAGGCCCCCCCCGGGGCTGCCCCGGGGCGGGGCAGTCGCTCCGGAGGGGGGCGGTGTCTCGGGGGCCACGGGGCACGTGTCCCAGAGGTCGGGCGTCTCGAAAAAATCGAGACGGAGGTCTTTCCTGGTTTTCGGCCTCTCGAGGCCCTCGCCGGGCCTCGGGACCGTCAAGAAACGACCCGGGACGAAGAACCGGCCCCAGGGAAGGGGTCGCGAGGTCGGGGGTCCGTGTCTCGAAAAAATGGAGACGTCGGATGTATGGGGTCTTGGGACGCTCGCGGCCCGCCTTGGGGATCGCGGATCCTGCTCTCAAGGCAGCAGTGCGCCACCCACCAGGCCACCCCAACCTGGAGGGTTTCTCCGAAAGGCTCAGGCGACCCGTCCTCCGCCTCTCTCCTCCTCCTCCTCCTCCTCCTCCCTCACCTCCCCCTTATCCTCCTCCTCCTACTCCTCCTCCTCCTCGCTCTCCCCTCCTCCTCCTCCTCCTCCTCTCCTCCTCCTCCTCCTCATCCTCCTCCTCCTCCTCCCTCCTCCTCCTCCGTCTCCTCCGTCTCCTCCTCCTCCTCCTCCTCCTCCTCCTCCTCCTCCTCATCCTCCTCCTCCTCCTCCTCCTCCTCCTCTCTCCTCTCTCCTCCTCCTCTCCTCCTCCTCCTCCTCCATTCTCCTCCTCCATCTTCCTCCTCCCCTTCCCCTCCTCCTTCTTCTCCTCCTCCTCCTCCTCCTCCTCCTCCTCCGCCTCCTCCTCCTTCTCGGGTCGCCTACTGCCCCGGGGGAAACCGTGCACCCCAACCCTACCCGAAGGCCCCAATTTGCCCTCCATTCCCAGTGGGGGGTAGGGGGAGCGTCGGGGAACGTGGGCAAAACACACATGGAACCCTAACCCCCCCCCCCCTAACCCGATATTTAGCTCCTCGGGGTTGGGTTTGGATGGTCTGGTAGGCAGTCAGTGAACTCTTGGGCGAAGGCGGAAAAAGCGCATAACCATAGTCTTCCGGACGTCGTCGCGGATACCTTGGACCGGCGCCTGGGCGCCGGCCGACCTCGGCGCGATCCGCGCGCCAGGGCGGGGAGGGGGGTCCAGCGCAGATCCACGGCATCCGCGCAGACCTCCGCCATTTCCTGTGGCTGCGTGGTATCTTCCACGCGTTCGGCCGAAGAGCCTGGAGAGCAACGACAGAGCACCCTTGCCCGTGGAGTATGGCCCCCCTCGGGCCTTGCTGGAGGGCTCCGTCGACGCCTCTTGGAGGCTGTCTGGGGCCTCCTACGGGCATCTTGGGGACGTCTAGAGACCTCCTCCTCCTCCTCCTCCTCCTCCTCCTCCTCCTCCTCCTCTTCCTCCTCCTCCTCCTCCTCCTCCTCCTCAAACTGAGGGTGCTGGACTGCAGGGTTCGTGCGAACAAGAATCCGACTCAGCAACGTGTAACACAAATCAAGGCTGCTGCCAGTGCGGGCGCAAGAAGGGCCAGAATCCGTGGAAGAGCATGATGTACCCCTCCTCCTCCTCCTCCTCCTCCTCCTCCTCCTCCTCCTCCTCCTCCTCCTCCTCCTCCTCCTCCTCCTCCTCCTCCTCCTCCTCCTCCTCCCCCTCCTCCCCCTCCCCCTCCTCCTCGTTCAAATCCTTCGAACATGTTCTGTAAATGAATGGTTTTTGCGTCTTGGGGCCCTGGGGGGGGTCCTTCTGGGGCCCTCTTGGGCTGGGAGAGGCGTGAAAAGGACGAGCGGGGGCATGCGGGGCGGCGACGACGACGACGAGGAGGCAGGAGGAGGGGGAGGAGGGAAGACAACGAGTTGGAGGGAGCTCCCTCCTCCCTCTCCTCTCCTCCTCCGCATCATCCTCCTACTCCTCTCCTCTCCTCCTCCTCAGACTCCTCCTCCTCTCCTCCCTCCATCCTTTCCTCCTCCTCCTCCACTCCCTCCTCCTTCCTCTCCGCCTCATCCTCCTCCTCCACCTCCTCCTCTTCCCCTCCTCCTATCCTCCTCCTCCTCCTCCTTCCTACTCCTCCCCTCCTCCCCCTCCCTCCTCCTCCTCCTCCCCCTCTCCTCCTCCTCCTCCTCCTCCTCCTCCTCCTCCTCCTCCCCTTCCTCCTCCTCTGACCACCCCCGAGCCAGGAAAGAAATCACCGCGAGATGCTACTCGCTAGGAGGAGTGCGCAATGAACACGGTGATCGTTTTATTGTTCCTCGTTTTGCCGATCAGCGCGGGCCCTCGCAACCCCCCCCCCATCCCCCTGGAGTAGATCTGGGCTGTTTTTTGCCACCTGTTTCGAGCAGGTGGAGCCTCCCCCATAGGACGCACGGTCCCAAACAGGCGCACTAAGCAGACGACCGGAGCCAGACCCCCCCCTCCACCCCTCCCCGTCCGACCAATGTAGAAAAGCCGAATAACAAAAAAAACGCTCACGTGAGGAAAGTCACCGCGAGAGGTTCGTTGCTACCTTCGGCCTCGGGGGGCCCTTGCCCGCCCTCGGGACCGTCTCAAAAAAATGCCTCGACTCGGGAGGAAAGACTGGTGCAGGGGAATGGGTCGAGACTTTTGGGGGGGTCGAGGCCATCGAGGGCGGTGCAGTTCATTTTTTAACACTGGGCGTTGTCGACCAGTGTCGGGCCCCGGGACCCTCGCGGATTGCTCCAGCAGGAATTTGTGCGCAGAAATGTGAAGTGTCTGGGGCTCCGGCCGCCATTCTTCACGATGTTGCCATGTGTTCGCCACGTCTCAGAGTCGCCTGCAGGAGGTCACAGGAAACGTGCCAGACAGCTGACAGGCATGTGATCGTTTTCTCATTCATTGTTTTGCCGATCGGCGCGGGCCCCCACACCCCCCTCCCTCCCCTTTCCCATGGAGTAGGTCTTGGCTGTTCTGTTGGCGCCTGTTTCGGCAGGTGAGGTGCCTTCCACAGGACGCACTGGTGCAAGCAGACGCATTATGCAGAGGTTCGGAGCCAGACCCCCCCCTTCCCCCCCCCCCTTCCGCCCCATGTCGAAACGCCGAATCAGAAAACGTGGACCATCCCAATGTCCCTCAACCGACGCGCCGAAGGCGCGGCGGCGGACAGTCAGCGCAGCCTCGCGGTCTCCAGCAGCGGCCTCGACTGGGTGCACCGCGACATCTCGAACGAGGTGGCGCAGGCGCTGCAGGTGCAGGGCCTCAACCAGCAGGTGGCCGCCGAGGCGCTGGACGTGGCGCAGCGCCTGAAGGGCAAGCCGCCCCCCGACGCGGGGAAATGGGGAAACCAACAGGTGTATGCTGTTCCGACCTACTTTAGCCTCGATCACCAGAAAGAATTCCGAGCACCAGGAAAATATCGAAATCGGAAGGTCTCACGTGTCGGGCCCTGGGAGGCGATACTCGCTCGACACTGTTTCGACATTTGTCTGGGCGCTCGAAATTATTTCAAGGATGTGGTCCTTAAGTACGATGGGAGCAACATAACAAAAACTACCGATACCGCTACTTCCCGCACCTCTCCCGGGGCGCGTTCTGACCAGGATTTCGAGGCGAATCTAGCGGTGGCGACGAGGGCCTCCCAGGAGACGCCAAAAAGGGGAAAACGAGAGAAGAGCATCGATATGGGTACCTGTTTCCCTCCCCTGAGGAAGGCCGCGGAGATGCTGAACTCCATCCTCGCGGGGGACCTGCACGGCAAGGACCTCGCGCAGAGGCTGGTGGGCTTTTCTTCCATCGCCACCACCATAAGTAGGAGGGGAGGGGGTCCTCCTCCTACTCCTCCTCCTCCTCCTCCTCCTCCTCCTCCTCATCGTTATCATCACCACCACCACCATCATCATCATCATCATCATCATCATCATCATCATCATCATCATCATCGTCATCATCATCATCATCATCATCATCATCATCATCATCATCATCCTCATCATCATCATCTTCATCGTCACCATCACCATCACCATCATCATCATCATCATCATCATCAGCATCATCATCAGCCTCATCCTCATCCTCATCCTCATCTTCTTCATCGACAACAGAATCAACATGATCAGCAGTAGCATCAGCAACATCATCATAATCATCATCATCACCATCACCATCATCATCATTATCATCAACACCACCACCACCACCATCATCATCATCATCATCACATTCGTCATCATCGTCATCATCATCCTCATCCTCATCATTATCACCCTCACCATCACCGTCACCATCACCGTCACCGTCACCATCACCATCACCATCCACCTCCTTTCCCCCCTCCATTTTCTGGTGGTGGTGGTGGTGGTGGTGGAAGACAGGCCCATCAGAGGCTGCAGGGCCTGCCGCTGGTGCCGCTGTGCGACGGCTCCGTGGAGGTCTTCCCCGCGCCCGGGGAGGCGCGGCGGCCCCTGTGGTGCGCCTTTCCAGCGCCGATGGCGAGGCTCGGGGCAAGGCTCGCGGGCTCCCAAGCGGTGTGGCGCCTCGGGGGAGGAAGGGGGTACCCATACTCATGGGCCTGTTTTCCACCACCACCATCACCATAGGCTGGAGGTGGAGGAGGAGGAGGAGGAGGAGGAGGAGGAGGAGAAGGACGAAGAGGAGGAGGAGGAGGAGGAGGAGGAGGAGGGAGGAGGAGGAGGAGGAGGATGGAGGAGGAGGGTGGAGCAGGATGAGGAGGAGGAGGAGGAGGAAAGGGAGGAGGGAGGAGGAGGAGGAGGGAGGAGGGAGAGGAGGTAGGGAGGGGCAGGAGGGGAGGAGGGGGAGGAGGAGGAGAGGAGGAGGAGGAGGAGCGGAGGAGGAGGAGGCGGAGGAGTGAGGAGGAGGAGGAGGGTCGGGAGGGTAGGAGAGGAGGGGGAGAGGAGGGGGGGGGGGGGGGGGGGGGGGGGAGGGAGTGGGTGGGGGGGAGGAGGGGGGGTAGGAGGAGGGGGGAGGGGGGGGGGGGGGAGAGGAGGCGGGGGGGGGGGGGGGGGGTGGGTGGGGGGGGGGTGGGGGGAGCGAGGAGGAGGAGGAGGAGCGAGGAGGAGGAGGGAGGGAGGAGGGAGGAGGAGGAGTGAGGGCGAGGAGAGGAGGAACCGAGGTAGGAGGGAGGGGGAGGGAGAAAAAGGAGGAGAGGAGGGAGGAGGAGGCAGGAGGAAGAGGAAGAGGAGGTTAGGAGGAGGAGGCGGGGAAAGCTGAGGCGAGGAGGGCAGGGGAGGGGGAGGGGAGAGGAGGGAGGGAGGAGGAGGAGGAGGAGGAGGAGGAGATGGAGGAGGAGGCGGAGGAGGGGAGGAGGAGGAGGAAGGAGGGAGGAGAAGGAGGACGGAGGAGGGAGGAGGACCCCCATCCCCCTCCTACTCATGGTGGTGGTGGTGGAAAACAAGCCCATCACTGGCCGCTACCCTTCCCTCGTTGTCCCCTTTTTGGGGTCTCCTGGGAGGCCCTCCTCGTCACCGCTGGATTCGCCTCGAAATCCTGTTCAGAACGCGCCCTGGGAGAGGTCCGGGGAGTAGCAGTATATCGCTACCTTTTGGTTTCCCCAGTGTGGTGACCACATCGTTCCAGGCCTCCCAGCTGGGGTCCGAGCAGGTGGGGTCGGAGGATCGCTCCGCATCGCCGATGCGTCGCCGATGCGGCTCGATGAGGAGCCTGACTTTCGCCATGCTTACGACCTCCAATGCATCGCCGACGTCGCTGATGCATCGCCGATGCATCGATGATGAATCGCCGATTTGTCGGCGATGCGGCGCGATCCTCCGACCCCATCGCCGGTGCATCGCCAACGCATCGCCGATGCATCATCGTGTGGCTCGAAGAGTAAAAAACACTGCATAAACATAAACTTTCGGCGGTCCGCGCGGGTTTCTTGGATCTGCGCTGGGATCCCCGTGGCGGCGCCTCCGGCGCCGCCCCTGACGCGCTCCGGGAAGGGGATCCCAGCGCAGATCCAAGAACTCCACCGTCAAAAGTTTACTGTTCTTTGTTCCTCTAGTGGCGAGTCCGTGGGCATGCGGGGCCACCGCGCGGTTCTGGGACTCGGGTCGTTCTCCGAGGAAGCCTCGGACAACTGGGGCTGCCAGGGCTTCGGAACCGTGTGGTGACGCAACGCGCGGCGAGGTCGTTGGGGGGTCCGAGGTCACCACGCGGTCCGTCACCACACAGTTCCCAGACCCCCGACGCCATGATTCTTTCATGACGTCGGCACCCCAGAGTCTCGACCGATTCACCGGGACCAGCTTTTCATCCTGAGACGTTTTTGACGGTCCCGAAGCCGTGTAAGGGCCGTCCATTGGCCGAAGATAGCGAAACATCTCCCGTCGTGCACTTTTGCCATGGCTCGAGGGCGTCTGGGTATGGGGGGCCCCGGCGAGGCACAAGGCCGACAAGGCGCAGCAGGTGCTGGCCAGCGTGTGCCCGCACTCCACGCTCAACGTCGGCAGCTCAGCTGCCCTGATGCGCACGTGCCGAAACTCCATCCGTAGCGTGTTCAGCACGTCTCACGCGCGTGGTGGCCCACGTTTTGACGAGCGCACCGCGCCAGACCTTCGTACGTTTCGGCGGCGCGCCTGGGAGGAAGTGAGAGGGGGCGGGCGCTCTCAGAAGGCTCGCGAAAGGCCTCTGGCCTTCTGGGAACATTTCTAAACCTCCCCCGAAGACAACCACAGCTGTTTAGAAGGCTGGGCGGCTTCTGAAACGTCCTGCCGCCTTCTGAGAAGGCCTCCTCCCCCTTCACCTCCCCCCCAGGCGTGCCGCCCAGAGTTTACAATCTACACGTTGAGCTCCGTGTCACCACGCTACGCGTCGGTCGTTGACAGTAGGTCCTTTCGGACTCCCAGATCCCAGTCCGCTTCAAGCGCCTTCCTACGTCAAGGATCAGTCTGCTTCTACTGTGTTTTGCTATTCCCTAGGAGGGCCTGACCCGAATCTACTTTATTCGCCTTCCTACTTGTTGTTTTTACCTACTTCTTTCGACCGACGAGTACGTGCTGCGCGTCGCGCATCCGCACACCTTTTTTTTCAACACGCGGCCCCCGGAAGTCCCGACCAGTTCCCCGGGACCAGCTGTTCCTCCGGAGTCGCTTTTTGACGGTCCCAGGGCCCGGCGAGGGCCCCCCGAGGCAGAACAATGGTGAAACACCTCTCGTTGTGATGCTTTCATGCCTCGAGGGGATCTGGGTCCAGGTGTCACAGACCGAGCTTTCCCCGGAGGCCGACAACGCCGATGAGCCTCCCTGCCGAAGTCTCTTTGCGCCGCCGATCCCGTCCGGGACCGGGCGGCGCGTCGCGCCCCCTGGGGCAGAGCTGAGGTGGGCATGCTCGGGCCCGCCGGCGCGGCCGTGCTGCAGCAGCACGCCGCGGAGCTCACGGGCACCCATAGGGGGAGGAGGAGGAGGAGGAGGAGGAGGAGGAGGAGGAGGAGGAGGAGGAGGAGGAGGAGGAGGAGGAGGAGGAGGAGGAGGAGGAGGAGGAGGAGGAGGAGGAGGAGGAGGAGGAGGGGGGATGGGCATAGGGGGGGGGGACGCCTCGGCCCCCCTGGGCGCCCCTGGAGCGCCGATGGGGGCCCAGAAGCCCCAGGGTGCCCAGGAAGGTGCGGATTTTCACCATCTCGGGCCTCTCGCCGCTCCAGCGGCGAGGCATCGCCGATGCCAGGTCGAGGTTCGCCCCCCTATGCGTAAGTCGGGCATGTCCCTCTACAGGAGGAGACTTCAAAAATAGTCAAACAATTGCTCTGGGGACGATTTTTGATGGTTTGTGGGAGGACCACTTTCGAGCATGTTTGCTTTTGGGGGATTTGATTTTTTTGGGGGGGGACCACTTTTGAGCATGTTTGATTGCTGTTTGATCCTTCGCCCAAGATCCGCCTGTAGGGGGATATGCCCGACCTAACCCTGTGCACATCCCCCCCCCCTATCGCTGCCCCCCACCGCTGCCACTGATGCATATGTTTTGAGCATCTTTCTGGATAGTCATCATCTTTCGTTCAAAATCCGCCTGTGGGGGGACATGCCCGACCTAGCCCTACAGTCGGCCCGGATTACTGGTCGACCCTGCCAAATCAAGGGTACCCTGGTGCCCTGTGTCTCGCGACCCACACTTCCTGCCTTCCTGTGGCAGTGTGGCCCTCGGGAGAGTCTCGCGGCCTCCCGCGTGTCCTGTCCAATCGAGCCCGACTGCACCGCTGCCCCTCAGGAGCTGGGCATCACGGACGTGGACGGCACCGCGCAGCTGGCCCGCGCGCTGCGCGAGGCCGCGCCGCGGCTGGTGCGCGCGGAGGCCCCGGCGCGGGACGCGCGGCCCGGCGAGGCGCCCAGCCCGCGGGGGTGGCCAGGATCGGGGCAGCGGCAGACCTTAGTGCAAGCAGCGGCGAGGCGTCCTGGCTCGCCGATTAGGCCCACCAAGGAATGCTCTGAGAGCCTCGTGGGGTCTCTGCACGAAGAAGGTTCTCTTAGAGCATTTCTGGCTGGGGCCGTCTCGTTTTTTTGTTTGAAAAACACACCTCGGGCGCACGTTCTGAGAACGTTGCGTTTGTTTTTGGAACGTTTTTGGCTTCTTTGAACATTTCGTGGTGCGCCTATAGAGATGCCGGGACGGTCGGTCTCTGCTCAAGACTCGAGTCGAGTAAGCCGGAACTCGGGCTTGCCGACGTTTTTCGACGAGCCCGGCCCTGGATCTTGACCGTCCAGTTTTCGGGGGACGTTTGCAGCGGGAGCTCGCGTCAAAGTTTAGATTGGGTCTCGTCATTTCCATGATGGCCCCGTCAGGCCAATCCGAGTCCTCCGTAGCCGTACCCGAGTCTTACGCCTCCCCGACAAAAGAGGGTGATGATTCCCAGGCCCCTTCGGGACACGACGGGAAGTGTTTTTTCGCTATTCTCGGCCTCTGGGAGCCCTTGCCGGCCCTCGGGACCATCAAAGAAGTGCCTCGGGACGAAAAGCCGGTCCGGGGGAATGGGTTGAGAATTTTTGGGGTCGAGTCGTGAAAAATCATGACGGGATCGTTTTCGTTATTCTTTGGCCCCTGGAGGCCCATACTTCGGGGGGCGGCCAAGAGGGGGGTGCTGATTAGTGCAGGGGTCATGGATGGTATCTCCCCAGATTTCGTGGCGCCTCTTCTGATTTCACTGCGACCCCAGCCCCACCCTGGGCCGCGCACATGCTGCCGGCCGTAATTTGCGCCCCCCCCGCTCTGGGACGCCCTCCTCTTTGAACGCCCCCGAAGACCCCCTCGAGTCGTGAAAAGATCACGAAGGTTTTTCGGTATTGTCGGCCCTTGTAGGCCCACACCGGGCCGCGGGGCCGTCAGATAACCATTCAGGATCTGACGAGCTGGTCCCGGGGAATGGGTCGAGGCCTCTGGGGCCGACGATCTGACAAAACAAAACAAAAGCATGACGTCGCGGGTGTGGGCTCGGCGAGAGCAATGGGTGCGGTTCATTAAGTTTGATCATTTTCTTTGGGTGGAGGGCAAAGGGTGAAATCTGAAATGCCGTTTCGATTGGTTTTCGAGGCCCGAATCTGCAATAGGTGAACCACAGGACGGACTGATTCTCGAGGTGCGAGAGTCCATATGGATCTCACCCCGAGCCCTCCACCTTAAGAAAGTGCCCGACGGTGGCGGCCCACCGCGCTTCGGCGCGCCACGCGATCCGCATCTTGACCCCCCCAGGCCTCAACGTCCCGAGCCGGTCCGAGCCTCCCCCGCCCCGCGGAGCGGAGCGACGCGCTATATCCGCTATAGCAAGGGGTAGAGCTTGTCGCCGGCGCCACCGTGGCGACACGCTGTGCTTAAGTCGGGCCTTACAGGAGGAATATTCAAAAAAAGTTATTCAAAATAATACTCTGGGGACGATGTTTTGACCATGTTTGAGCATTTTCGGTTATTTTTAGAGTGTTTTTTTATTTTTCCTCGAAAGTCGGCCAGGGGGGGGGGACAGGCCCGACCTGACGCCATGCAAAAGTTCCTGACCGTAAGTGCGCTGGGGTGTGGTTCGCAATCTGCGCCGTTGGGGCCCAGGGTTCACCACGCTGCGCCAAAGGCTTGATGAGTCCTGGTCGGGGCGTGGCAGGGATCTCTGTCGAGGTTCTCGCCCGCCCCTGCAGGCGCGGCTTGCAAACCAGACCCTCTGCAACATACACCCTTCGGAGCCGCCGAGAGGCGCTCGGGGGCCTCGCGAAGAGCGTGGTGGACGCGGCGGCCGCCGCGGTGAGCAGCATGATCGGCGCGGCGGATGCGCGCGACGGGGCCCTCGCCAGCACCCTGGGGCTGGGCGACAACGAGCAGGCGGGCGGCACGCTGTGCGCGCTGTGGGAGTTCGTCGAGTCCACGCCGGAGGGCGTCGGCGCCGCCTTCTTCGAGCACTTCGAGGGCTTCTTCATCCTCCCTGCCTGCGACGCGGGGGGCGCCCTCGTCAAGAGGCAGGGCTGGACCCAAGCGCTGTTTTTTGCTGGACTTGGGCTGTGTCTTGTGTTCTGTCTTGGGAGGGCGGTGCCAGGGCAGAACGAGCACACAAAACGAAGACACAACGAAAAGCAACTTTGAGGTCCAGCCCTGGAGGCAGCCCGCGGCGCCGGCGGCGCCCTCGGCGCCCGCAGTGCCGGCCGCGCCCTCGGCCTCGGCGCCTGCTGCGCCGGGCGGCTTCGCGCCGCCGCCGCGGGAGGCGCCGCGGCAGGGCGACGCCTCGTCGTCCACCCGCCCGGCCCCAGCGCCGCTGCGGCTGCTGCCGCTGGCCCGGGGCGACCCGATCCTCGTGCCGCCGGCTGCCGGAGACGAGCGGCTGGCGCCGCTGCTGGAGGTGGTGGGGCAGATCCTGCCGGACCGCTTCCTGGACACGGGGCACGGGGCGCTGTCCAGGCGCGCGGTGCAGCTGCTCGGCGAGAGTGGCATCGCGCACCCCTTCAACTCCGCCTCTGTGCTCCTCGTCCTGGCATCCGCATCGCAGGGCCGCCATGGCCTCGCCGTGGCGGCCAAGCGCTGCGGGCAGCTGCCGCCGGAGCACCGCGACCTGCTCTGCCAGAGGCTGGCCGCGGCCCTCTGCCAGCTGGTGGAGGCCGGCGGAGACTCGGCGGGGGACGCCGACGCGCGCGTGGCCGTGTTCTGCGGCCTGCCCATGGTGCGCGCACAGAGCGGCGTCGTCTCGGAGGCCCCCGACGCCGCGGGCGGCGCGGCCGGGGGGCCGCAGGCGCAGCCGCACCGGTGCCTGGCAGACCTGACCGTCGTCGACGGCGGGCCTCTGACGCTGGCGGCGCCGCCGGGCCGCATGTCCCTGTCCGGCGGCTTCGTGTTCCGGGAGTCGCCGGGCACGACCCAGGCCCTGGCGGACGCCGTGGTGCTGCCCGGCGTGCGGTCGTACCTGCAGTCCAGGGAGCGCTTCCTGACGACCACGGAGTGGATGATGCAGCACGTCGTGCCGCACCTGCGCGGCCTGGGGCCCGAGGACCAGGTCGCCGTGCTGGAGAGGCTGCTCCCCCTGCTGGACGTGGACCAGGCGAACTCGCACGCACTCGTGCCCGCCGAGGTGGCGGATGGCGACGCGCTCCTGAAGCCGCCCCATCCGAGGAACACAAGACGGCTCATACCCTCCGATCCGGGCGTTGCAGTTGTTTGGCACTGGGCGTTTTCGCCCTGTTTCGGGCCCAGGGCCCTCAGAGATCGATCTGGCTTGAAAACTGGCACAGATGGGGTCCTGGGCTCTGGTCGTGATTCTCTGCGGTGTTGCGCTATTGTTTTGTTTGCAACATCGGATCTCTGGGTAAGCTTAAATGTTCGAAGCTCCGCGCGGATTTTTCGGATCTGCGCTGGGCCCCCTGGGCTGCGCCTCCGGCGCCGCCCCTGGCGCGCGGAGCACGCCATGGAGTGAGTGGTCCAGCGCCGATCCAAGAAATCCGCGCGGAGCTTCGGAATTTTATGTTCACGCCGTTGTTTCTTCCTCGACCATCTGCTGCTCGACTCGCACGACGTGACGATCCAGCAGGTCGGCGCGCACAAGGGGGTGACGCGAGGGGAGGGGGGGGGGGCCTCCTGCTCCTGAGAAGCAAGGGGGGCTTCTCAGAAGCTTTCCCAGCTCCTCAGCAGCCTTCTAAAAAGCCTCCAGGGCCTTCTAAGAAGGCCTCCGCCTTCTATCCACGGACGAATTGTGCGCACCGTACTGCGTTGGCCTGTCCCGAGGCGTCGTCGATCCCTGACCAAGGAATGGCACGTGCATTTTTTGTTCCCGCCCTCCGAGCCGAAAAACTTGGCACCGTACCGCGGTGGAGCGGGTCCGGAAGGAGGGAGTGCAGACAGGGTATACGGTGCACGGGCGCCGATCTCGCATGTTAAGAAGCACCCCGCCTTCCTAGATGATCTTCAAAACGCTGGGGGGGGGGGCTTTCTCCCCAACCAGTGCTTGCACTGAAGGGGCCCTAGCGGAAATGGAAAGGTTTGGCAAAAGTGTCCCGCTGACTTTGGTGGCCGGCTGGGTTCCCGGGTTCCGGGCTCCCGGGTTCCGGGCTCCCGGGTTCCTGGCTATTGGTTCCAGGCCGGCCTCGGTGGGTTCCGGGTTCCCGGGTTCCCGGCTCGATCTCCTTCTCGATCAAACACCTCATTGATCGGGGTTTCTCTCTGGTGTAGTTTGTGCCACGGTTTTCAGGATCGGCGGTGCTTTTCTGTCCGTTGTGGGGTCGCCGTGGCTCTGTTTTCTTTCAAGTCCTCGGTTGGCCCGCGGCCCCGCTTTTTATCGCGCTCTCTCCTCTCTCTCTTTCTCTCGGCACGGTGTCCTCTTGGCGTCGCTCGAACGTGTGCATCTTAACTCGGCGAGGACCACCGGGGAGCATCTTTGATCATGTAGCGAACAAGAAAACACGCACGAAATCGAAAACTGCACGGGGAGTGGACGTCCGAGCGATGGCGAGTCTCGGCACGTCCTCGGGCCTCGCCAGGCCGCCCGCCCGGCGGCCACGCCCCAGCGCTCCCGAGGGCACGCCCTGGTCGAGCCGCGAGCGGAGCGTGGGGAACGGAACAGCAGGAGGCCCACGAGGCCGCACGGCCGAGGACCATCGAGGAGCACCTCTGATCATGCAGCAGGCCAGCCACAACACTGGGGGAGCTGTGGTCCTTACCCCCCGGGGGACCCATCGGTTTCGACACCCCTCTCGAGAGATCGTCGATGCAGTGGGGGTTCCCCCAGGGGGGTAAGGACCACAGCTCCCCCAGTCATGGCTGGTCGGCGTAGCGGGAAAGGAAACACACGCGCGCGAACTCGAGGCGTGCACGGGGCACGGGCGTCCGAGCGACGGGCGCGCCTCCTCGGCGCGCCCGCGGGGCCTCGCCGTGCCGCCCGCCCCTGCGCTCCACCGCTCCAGGGCGCCGCTCTCCCGCGGGAGCACGCCGCCTCTGCACGAGCGAGATGGGTGCGGGAAGGAGGGGCACACGGTGCCCAGCAGCAGGACTCGCTGCTCCTCCTCCTCCTCCTCCTCCTCCTCCTCCTCCTCCCCCTCCTCCCCCTCCTCCTCCCCCTCCTCCTCCTCCTCCTCCTCCTCCTCCTCCTCCTCCTCCTCTTCCTCCTCCTCCTCCTCCGGTTCCTCCTCCTCCTCCTCCTCCTCCTCCTCCTCCTCCTCCAACAACAGCTCCTGTCCATTCTGAGCAGGACTCGCTGCCCGCGCCGCCGCGGCCCGTGCCCATCTGAGACAGGAGGCCGCCTGCCCAACAGCGGCCGATGCTGTTTTGGGGCAATATTTTTGCTGCAGGGCATTGTGCCAATTTTTTCCGTACCCATGTCGGGCGTCCAAATCCAGGGGCGCGGCGTCTGTACCGCGAGGCCTTCCCGGGGATCCAGGGGCGGGAGAGCACGCAGACGGGTGTCGGCCAGGGCGCCAGATCTTGCAGCACCCTTCAGGGTCAGGGTTGCACCAACCTGGGTCCTCCTCCTCTTCCTCCTCCTCCTCCTCCTCCTCCTCGTCCTCCTCCTCCTCCTCCTATCTTGCAGGATCTGGCCTTGCCCATGCTTTCCGTGCCCATTTCTGGCGTCCAAAACGCCCCTGGTCGAGCCCCGAGCGGAGCCTCGCGAACGGGACAAAGAGGGAGGCCCACGAGGCCACACGTCCTCCAGAGTTCTGATGCTCCAGCCTGCTTGAGTTAAGTCGGGCCTGTCCCTCTACAGGGAGAATATTCAAAAATAGTAAAACAATAGTCGTGGAGACTATTTTTTGACCATGTTTGAGCATCTGAGGGCATGTTCTGCATTTTTTTAGTTTCGTCCAAAATCCCCCTGTAGGGGGACAGGCCCGACTTAATACTTGAGCCTTGCTCGCCAGAAAGAGTTTCGAGCGCCAGAAAAAAATACACCCCGAAAACTCCAGGGTTTTCGCGCGTCGGGCCCTGGGAGACACTCGTCCGACACTGTTTTGACACTGTTTCGACACTCTTTCGACACTTTTCCGGGTGCTCGACATTATTTGTGGGATGTGGTCTTTAAGTACGATGGGAGCAGCACAATTCTAGACCTGGGCTCCCCAAGGATGAAAGCACAGCATGATTCGACGGCACCTCTGCCACGTTCGCCTGGGGACTTGGGGCCCCAGTTTTCGGCCTACGCCCTCACCTGAGCGACCAAAGAACGAGGTTGTCTGCGCCGACATTGGCGCGTAAGCTGCCCGCGTAAGGTCGCGCGTAGGCGCCCTCTTCTCCGATGTGCAGTGTCGAAGTAGCGGCCCGCGCAAGCCGCCGCGTCAAAGGTCGCTGCGCCACCTCGCGCAAGACCCTTTGCGACCGTCGCCCGCCTGCCTGAAAAATGGCCCGAGCCACAAGGAGGGGAGGCATTGAAGGACACACATCGTCGTTCCACCTCCCTTCCCCTCCTCCCTCTTGCTCCTCCCCCTCCTCCTCCTCCTCGTCCTCCTCCTCCTCCTCCTCCTCCTCCTCCTCGATCCTCCTCCTCCTCCTCCTTCTCCTCCTCCTCCCCCGTGCGCGCCGCCGAAGGTGTTCGGCATCACTGGCGACACCGCGCCCGCCCTGCCGAGGGCCTCGCAGCTGCACTTCCCCGCGAGGGCGCTGCCCGCCGCCGTGCGGCAGCAGCTGCGTCGGCTTGGCATGCGCAGGAGCTCGAGGGAGAAGAGGGATACATAGGCATTACCAGGCATGGGGAGGGAGAGAAGGGAGGAGACGGAGGAGGAGGGGAAGGAGGAGGAGGGGGAAGGGGAGGAGGAGGGGAAGGAGGGGGAGGAGGGGGAGGGGAGGGGGAAGGGGAGGGGGAGGGGGAGGGGGAGGGGGAGGGGGAGGGGGAGGGGGAGGAGGAGGAGGAGGAGGAGGAGGAGGAGGAGGAGGAGGAGGAGGAGGAGGAGGAGGAAGGAGGAGGAGGAGGAGGAGGAGGAGGAGGAGGGGAGGGGGAGGGGGAGGGGGAGGAGGAGGAGGAGGAGGAGGAGGAGGAGGAGGAGGGAGGAGGAGGAGGAGGAGGAGGAGGAGGGACGGGGGAAGTGAGGAGGGGGAAGGAGGCGGAGGAGGAGGGGGAGGAGGAGACGGGAGGGAGAGGAAGGGGAAGGAAAGGCGAGGGGGGAGGAGGAGAACGAGGAGGGATGAGGAGGAGGGGGAGGTGGACATGAGCGGGAGGAGGGGAAGGAGGAGGAGGAGGAGGAGGAGGAGGAGGAGAAGGAGGAGGAGGAGGAGGAGGAGAAGGGGGAGGAGGAAGAGAGAGGAGGAGAATGGAGGAGGGGGGGGGGAAGAGGAGAGGAGGAGGAGGAGGAGGAGGAGGAGGAGGAGGAGGAGGACGAAGGAGGAGACGCGCGGCGCTGTGGTTTCAAAACGAGGACCCAACTCACAGGGTTCGGGAGCAGACATACCTGCCAGCCATCGAGGACCTCAAACCGTGTGCTTTAAGCACTATGATGTGCAACCGATGTGGAGCTATACATGTGGCGCAGTGAATGTTATGCAGCCTATGTTGTGCATTGTATGCCGTGCAATCCACGTGGTGCAATACATGTCAACCTACGTGGTGGCATATATGCGGTGCGATCGATGTTATGCAATATGTGTCGTGCGAACTATGCTGTGCCATCCAAGTGCTGAAATGTATGTGATGCAATAAGCGTGGCGCCATGTGTGTGGTACAATCGTCGAGCACTGTACGCGGTGCAGTGTAAGTGGTGCAATATGTGTGGTACGATCTATGGTGTGTAACCCACTTTGACTGTCTTGAAGCTGTCCTCTCCACTGCTCGTGCAAACATCCCACCCACCCACCCGCAACTTGGTTTGCAAAACCTGTTCAGACCGACTACGACGACACCGACGACAACGACTAGGACGACACCGACGACGTCTCCGACGACTTCGACGACGACAACGACGCCGACGCCGACGACGACGAAGACGACGACGACGACGCCAACGAAGGCGACGACGAGGGGGAGGAAGGACGACGACGGCGACAACGACGACAACGACGAGGGGAGGAGGGAGGACGGCGACGACGCGAACGACGACGAAGGAGGAAGGACGGCGACGCTGACGACGACAACGACGAGGGAGGAGGGAAGACGACGACGACAGCGACGACGACGACGGCGACGAAATAGGAGGGACGACGAGGAGACGCCGACGACGGACGACGACGACGACGTGGGAGGAGGAGGAAAGACAACCACGGCGACAACGACGACGGAAACGACCACGACGCCAAAGAGGACGACGACGGAAACACGAGGAAAGACAGGACGACGTAGGCGACGACGACGACGACGACGACGGGGAGGAGGGAGGACGGCGACGACGACGACGACGACGCAAGAGCGCGCGCGCACGCTTTTGTTGAAAATCCGTGTTGCGAAACCTTGGGTTTTTGTAGGTTTTTTGGACGCGCGATTTTGAAATCCTTCCGAAACCGATGGGTTTTGAAGGATTTTCGGCGTACGCGCGCGACGACGCGCGCGTCTGCACTTCGTCCCATTTTTTGCAAAGGATTCTCGCGACGGCACACGCGCAAGGGCGTTCGACAGATTTCGACATGCGCGCGCGTGACGCCCGTTTGGTAGCATTTTGTGAAAACCTTGAAAAACCAATGGTTTTCTTAAGATTTCGCAAGAGCTAGCGCGGAAGCTTTTTAAGCGAATCGTTGTTGCGAAATCATGTGTTTGTGTATTTGTTGGGGAAGCTCGATTGCGAAATCCTTCCGGAACCGAAGGTTTTTGAAGGATTTCGGCATGCGCGCGCGACGACGCGCGCGTGTACACTTCGTCCAGTTTTTTGCAAGGGATTCGCGAAACAGTGCTATGTTAGAACAAAAAATGTCACCGCATAGTGTTTTTTACCAGGGAACCTCAGGGGGGGAAACCGGCCTAGCTCGGATGGTATGATCTCATATTTAGGATGTAGGAGTGCGCAGCATATATCATTTCATATATATATGTGTGAAATTATATTATCCCAGGCGGAAGCGTTAAGTCCGGGGGGGGGTAGAGTCGATTCCCTTTTTAGAAAGGAGAATTAATGTCTGTTCGCAGTGAGTTGTCCACTCCACTGCTCGCGCAAACATCCCACCCACCCACCCGCAACTTGGTTTGCAAAATCTCTTAAGACCGTGACGGTGGGTACCACATGGCACTTGGCAACAACAGCGACGCCGACGACGACAGCGACAACGACAAAGACGACGCCGCCGACAACGACTACGACGACACCGACGACGTCTCCAACGACTTCGACGACGCCGACAACGACGACGACGACGACACCGACGACACCGACGACGACGACGACGACAGCGACGCCGATGACGACGACGATGATGACAACGACGACGACGATGACGACGCCGACGACGACGATA